TTTTGGCTCCTACCTCAAAGCACACTGTGCGCTGTCGATCCTACGTGCTGCACAATAATATTCAATATTTAGTATTTACTGTTATATTCACATAGATCACCGCGATGATGTTGTTTATTATATTGTCCTGTATGTAACATCTGAAAATAAAATAAAATAAACAATAAAAACAAAGGTCAATCAAATGGATCAATACGACAAGGCCGGGATGGTCCACTTGGTAAAGTAAATCCGTTGGGCATCTTTCTTGGCCTTTAGACAATAATTCTGATGGCAAAAGAAGCAAACGGGACAGGCGGGGGACAGTTTGTTTGCATTCATTTATGCACGGCTCTCTTGAGGTCCCGCCACAGCATTTCAGTCGGGTTGATGTCTGGACTTTGACTGGGCCGTTGCAACACTTTGATTCTTTTTCAGCACGTCTGTTGGAGATTTGGTGCTGTGCTTGGGATCACTGTCCTCTTTCAAGTAACAATCTGAGCTGAGCTTCAGCCGTCGATCAGACTCTAGAATACTTTGGCATACAGAAGAGTTCACGGTCAACAACAGGTTGTGTGGCAGCAAAACAAACCTGAAACATCCCCCCTCCACCGTCACGTTGACCGTTGGTACGAGGTGTAGGTGCTGATATGCTGTTTTTGGAGTTCCCCAGATGTGATGCTTTGCATTACAGCCAAACGTCTGTCAGAAGGACGTTGTTACAGAACTGTGGCCGTACTGCCATCTTCTTTTTAGAGAGGTTTTTTCCTGCAACGCTTACAAACAGCCGATGCTTGTTCAGTCTTTTTCTGATTACTTTAATGCTTAACATGCTAACCGAGGCCTGTAGAGCCTGAGATGTAGCACTTGAATTTTTGCAGTTCCTTTGAGCATTGCACGGCCTGACTTTGGGATGAATTGGTCGTCATGTTCGATCAAGCTTGAGGCATTGTGTTAATACACACCTCAATTCTACCCTCTCGTTTCCCGAAGCAGTAAGGCTGTGTGTAGTTTTCCATTGGATTCCTTAGAAAACTTTTTGCACAGGTCCTGTTTAAAGATGACTCCACGATGACTCATAAATGCATCTGAAAACATTATGTGTATGTAAATCAATTTATTGCAAGAAGATCACTGGGAACAAGGTGAAGGTGTCCATCTGTCCCTGCCCAGAGCTCCTCATCAACAAAAATGAGGATTTACAAACAAGTTAACAGACATGAGCATAAAATGACAAGAATTAGCTGAAACTAAGTGCTGTAGGCCTACATCCTAAATACTGTATATATCTCAAATATAACTGCTCATCAGAAGTTATTCCAACACCTGCGTTTATGATAGCATATTCCTCCTGATATGTACAGCATAATCAAGACAGTGCCTTTAAGATGTTGCATTAAAATTACACACAAAATAATCAGAACTATGAAAGAGGCATGCAAAAGCGAACAGTATATGTCACTACGTAGCCTACCTGAAAATATCCCCCCACACACCCAAAGCGCAGCCTCGCTGAAGGCATAGCGCAGCTCTACAGCGCCATCCTGTGACTGCAGGACGCTTTGAATTGATCAGATTCAAGAACTGAAATAAAAAGTCCACATTTTCTTTGAACACATGCTGAAACAATGTGACTGTAATGTTCTAACAGTGGTGCTCAAATACGCAGAGAAGAACAGCCACGAGCCTCAAATACAAGAGACGGCACAGTAATTGAAGCACTGTTGTGAAAGTTCAAAGTCTGGTGTTTTTCCTGAAAAGAAATCCGTTACATCTGCATCTCATCCCTAATTTAACACGTGAGGGCGACATATCAGAACATGTGAGAGGTTTGTAAAGGCTGACATTTCCATCCTTTGTCTCCAAATCCACTGTGTTTAAACTAATATAAATGCAACATTTCCAAACTATACAAAACTTATAAATTATAAAGTTCTATTCTTAAATATAAACAACATCAAGTCAGTTTCCAGTACTTAGATTATATATTAGGTACAGTACATTGTACACAGCTTCCACTGAAATCACTGTACACGATCCAAAAGGCTGAAACTGGAGGTCAGACGTGATCTTCGAATAAATTAATTCATAAATAAATCACGATTACGTCTTCCCAGTTACATCCTCGGCATGCTTTGCATCTGCTCCAGATTGTGGCACGCGCTCACTCACGCACACACACACACAAACACGCTGTGCATTCGACTCTTAAGTCCAAATCTACAAGTTCGGCTAATCTAAAAATACTTTTGGCTTTAAGGAATAACGTTACACTCGACTGAGACTAAAAGCTAACTTTTCAATAAAGTACGAGACGTCTACCGCCTACAGGGAAGTTTAACTTCAGTAGTTACATGTTTACCTGCAGACGCTTTGCAATAGAATATTAAAAGAAATAAATCTCTAATCCATAAAGTGACGGTGCTGGATGTCAGTTCCAGGTAGATCCCTTTCATTGTGTGGGAAAATTTAAAGCCCACATCTACTCAGGTACGACAAACAAAACAAAACAGCCAAGAGCAGACTTTATGTGATAAATATCTCTGTGACAGTGCAAAGCTAGAGCTGTGGCTGTTACAGCATGCTGTGTGGGCTGGAAGGAGACATGTTGAAGCATTTTGAGCCTAAAGGAAAACACAGAATATTTCGGCTTTGCAAGACCGATCCAGTTGTGCATAAGAGGATTCCACACAAAAGCTGATAGAAGTACTTCTAATATATACACAGAAAGCCAGTTTTTGCTTAAAAATTACTTAATCGTGTGCTTTATATCCAAACTTGTAGAAAGAGTAACAAACAATCCAGCCAAAAATCGCTGACTTCTCTCTTTTCTCGCCTCAGTCAGTCAGTTACAGTAGCAGCTTGTTCACCAACAGTAGCCTAATTGTCGGTGTTAATACAGTTAAGTTTACTCCAGCCAACGTTTTGGTTCATTATACATGATTGGCAGCAATCCCGCCGCTGGCACTTTCTCTTCGCACCTCCAGAAAATAACCCCAAAACATCCGACGTCCTTCTGTCCGCCACTCGTGTGTATTGCACCAAATATAAATCATACAGAACTCTATTTTTCTATTAAGTAATAGGTAGGACTTTGTTTGGAGGTGCCATGAAACTGGAAGCCAGGTGAGGTTCCCCCATCAGCCAGAGGAAGAATTAGTAGAAGAAGAAGAAGAAGAAGAGGAGAAGGCGGGAGGGTCAGTGGATGTCTCTGCACATGGGGAGGTTGACGAAAGTGAAAACGTTGAACTCGATGAGGACGGAGAAGGACAGAAAGATGGCGTACAAGATGAGGCAGGCCAAGCCCAGTCGCCAGTCCAGAGTCCACTTGTTCAAATGGACGCCGAGGACCTGAACGAAGAAGACACGATTAGAGACACACCGCACAAAGATAAGAAGAGTGGATGCAACTATGAAACAATTCCTGACTTAAAAGAGCTGCAATGCAAAGCCTTTATTGGTTTGTCCGGACCTCCCAGGAACAGTCGTCCAGCTCAAGTCCAGCTGTTTACTTCAGGTCGTGTTTCAGTTTTAGGTATTTGCACTTCTTTGCATACTTATATACATCTGACAGCCTTCATTCGCCCTTCATTTCTGACCATCTGCTTGTTTTTGAAAAGCATCTTTTTGGCTTACAAGATATTTGGTGTGAATAAAATATAGGTTTATGACATTTGCAAATTATGGCATTCTTTGGAACTGGCTCCAGTTTTCTGAAATTCCTGCGTTTGTCGATACGTCAAACTAGGTGTTTTATGTGGCTGCAAGTGAACTTGCTCTTCCTCTTGTCTAAATATACTAATTTCAAACCTGTGGTTGACATAGGAGTGTGTGCAACTTGTTTAAACCTCATGTCAGCCGTGTGCTGTCTTTACCCCAGGGCAGGGAAACATAAGTTAAAGCTGTCAGGGACGCCTTCATATCATTGCTCCACAAGTCTGTGCATTCAAAAATGTTAGCTGCAGAAATCTGTGACTTACTGTGAAGAATACTGAGGCCAGTAGGAGAGCCACGGAGTATATGAGTCCTCTGCTGTTAAGTTCGATCTGAAGAAACAGAGAGAGAGGCGCATTTTCACATCATTTTCACCAATGATCCAACATGACCTTAAAATGCAGTTTTTTTGTTTTATTCTAAAGTGTAATGAGACAAATAACACCGTCTCAGTTCACGGTGATGCAGTTTGGTGACAAACAAAGTCTCATTGTTTATGAACTCATTTCTGCTCCAGCAGACGCTCCTCCAGCGGAGCAGGGAACACTCACGATGGAGCCCGTCTTGATGCAGAGCGTTTGCAGCGCCCAGGGCAGACCCAGACCCACCAGGATGTCAAACACATTACTGCCTATGGAGTTGGAGATGGCCATGTCTCCCAGACCTGAGGTGAGGAGAGAAACACTGTCAAAGTCTGTGTTCAGTCGGGAGACAAAGCGATTACGACAAGCAAAACTCTGCTGTGCGACGCTGGACTTCTTATGTGAACGTACCTTGCCGCGCCACTATGACACTAGCCATGCAGTCTGGGACGCTGGTGCCCGCTGCGAGGAAGGTGATGCCCATGATGACGTCAGGGATGCCGAGAGTAAAGCCAATCACAGTCACCTGAGAACAGACAGACATCGTCTCAAGAGACAGACTCTCTGGGAATTCCTCCTTACGCAGGGCGGCAAGATAAATGAATCAATTCTGAGAGTTTCCCTCTGTTTCTGCACTTAATCGAAGGATGTGTGTGTTTTCCATAATGACAGCTGTGTGTCAGTGTTAGAAACGACTCACTATTTATAGACATTTTTGTATCAACTCTACGAGGTTCTGGCTGGACTGTGAATGTAAATATTAATGTGAACTTTTATGTATATAGATGAAAACACATTTGTGATGTTTATCACAAACAGATTGAATGCAATTAGCAACTTGACCCCATTCAGTTCCAAACCGTGGACAGATTGTCTCCATCTCCAAGGCAATGAGGCTGAAAGTTAACTGCAGATGGCTGAAACAATTTTGGCCGTGTTGCCGTCTCCCAACCAGTGTTTTCTCTAGTGTGACTGCAGCATTACATAAGTCAAAAGGATGAAATCATTTAGACGTTTCTAAAAACACGGTTTTAATAGTCTTGAAAGAAACTGTCTCCATGTTTAGAGGGAAAGGATCAGGAGGTGGTTGAGCGAGCCTGACTGGACTCACCATCCACACCATGATGTACGAGAGGCCGGCGATCCAGATGGTGGCTGTGAAGAAGGAGACCATGAACCACCTCTCCCAGCGGCGCTTGCCACAGTTGGGCACCGTGAAGAAGAGAAGCAGGGACAACGGCCACATGATCAGCCACTTGAGCTTGTTACACACACCCGCTGGAATGAATAAGATGTAGTCAGGGTTTAACGTTACACGAAGCTAAAATGAACATTTGCTGAGAGCCGGATCGTCTCATGTACCTGGAACTTTAAAGGGCACCAGGGGGCCCTCTTTGTCATCCTCTTCCTCTCCTTCCTCGTCATTCTCATTGTTCTCGTTGTCCTCATTTTCATTCTCCGTCTCATTCTCCAGCCGCTGAAGTCTGCACCTCCCGTTCACACCCTGCTCGACTCCGCCCATCCCATTCTCTAGGCCCCGCCTCCCTTGCGCCCTGGCTGCAGACTCAGAGTCACCATTCGTGATGCGATTGACTCGAGTCTCCGTGGTGTTGATCAGTCTTTGTCTCTGGAACATTAAAACAATCATTTGGACACTTTGCATTGCTCTCGTGAATTATTTTGTCATTATGCATAAAATACAAAACAGGAAGATATTTCTCTGAGGTAGAAATAAATATTCTTTCCAACTGTGGTTGTTTCCTTTGGATTTAAGCTGAAACTTCAATCTGCAGCAGACAGGTGTCTGAGATATCCAAAAGACAATTAGCATTCATTCCACGTCTTATTTCATCTTCTGCTAAACCCAGACCCAATTATTTGGTTTGTATTTATGCTAAGACTCTGGATTTGGCCAATTTTTCAGCCTAACTTTAGTTGACAAATGTATATTTCTCCTAAGTATGTGAGGAGCATCTGAAACCACACATCCAAGAATAGTTCAGTGTGTAAGTACCTCATTGATCAGCATCCGAGAGGCCATGGTGAGCCGGGTTCTCGGGGAGAAATGACTGGTGATCATGATCCTCATGCCGGCCTCAGAGAAAGACAGCTGGTGGGGGTAGGCAGACAGCAACTCATCCACCATCAGCACAGACGGCGTGCAGTGGAAGTTCGCTAAAAAATAAAAAACAGAAAAATACGTTTGAGCCGATAAAACATTAAATATAAAATCTCGCTGGATTGGAAAATCTTAGCTGTTGTTTGTAAAACACACAGTATGGAGGCACAGTGAAGTACAAGCCTGGAGTCATATCTGCACAGACAGCAAGTTGCATCATTGCCTCAACCCAACCCCTCAAAAATTAATTCATTAATTAATTATATCTCTCCATCCACTGATTTTCTCTGGCTTATCCAAGTCCAGGTCAACCATCCAAGCAGAAATGCCCAGACATCCCTCTCTGCAGCCCCCTTTTCCAAGTCTTCTAGGAGATAATGAGACATTCCTAAACTGAGAAACATAATCTCCCCATGGTCTCCTGGGTCTCCACCAATGCTTCCTCATGGTTTATAATGACTGGAACACCTCGCCCGGGGGGCATAGTTCAATAAAGCCAAGGGAAGTACATCATTGGCAAAAAAGTAGAGATGACATTCTGAGACCACCAAACCCATAAAAGTCTTAAAAGTTATGAAGAGAATCTTGGACAAAGGGCAGGAACAAGCCTGACTTATTGCTGCTAATGCAGATTAAGCTCTCTTGTACAGGGGCTGAATGTTGGGAAGTATGGTGGTCAAATTCCTTTTCCAAGTCCATAAAGCACATGTAGGCTGGTTGGTGAAACTCCCACACACCCTCAAATATCTCCAAGAGAATAAAGAGCTGGTCGACTCCATCACCAGGATGAAAACAGCATTGTTTCTTCTGAATGCAGGATTCGACTTCCCTCACCAGTGCCCTGAAAGTCTATGTCAGGTCTATGTCTACAGCTGAGGAGTGTGATCCCTCTACTGTTGGAACACCACCTCTGATTCCCCTTCTTGAACAGAGGGAACACCACCAGTTTGCCACGTCATTGCAAAGCTGCAGAGATACGTCCACGAGAACGGCATCAAAATCCTTAAGGAGCCTCGAGATAAACGCAAAACCAAAGATCAGATCAGGTCCAACCTAACCTGGAAAAAATGCAGGTTCTGCACATGAATATGAATCAATAGCTATTATAAAACCATGCTCATTGGGTGGGAAAAGGGGGGAAATTACTGTCCAGGAAGACATTTTGTGAGCATTTCCTTGAAACTGTTTTGCCGAGTAACAAGTGAGGAGGGCGACTGTTTCTCACTGGGGCAGCATTCAGAGTATCAGGTGCAAAAGGAGCTGACAGAGCAGGCTGTGCCAGCATCTTGCAGTCCTCTCTTCTGTTGTTCTCAAGCTGTAACTTATTTTTGAGGGCAGAGAGAAAGCTGCAGACGGCAAACAAAACGGCTGACTCTTTGACATTCCTAGCATCCAAAGCAACTCTCAAGCTCTTAAAGAGACACGCCGGGAAGGCTACTGGGTTGCTTATTTGGTTGGAGAAGGTAAATGAATTCAGTTTACCAGTTTATTCAAACTTCTCTGCAAACGTCTTTACGCTGGCTTGTTTCCTGGATGGAAAGAAGCTCGGTGTTCAAACAGAGGGTCATAATCACCGAATACAAAATCTTAGAGTCTGCACAAGTAGTCCTTTGGTACTGTCCTCACCCTTTGCCTGCTTAACACAGAGCAGAATCAAAATAGAAGGAAAGTGCTCCTGCGGCTTTTATATTTATGCAAATTTCAGTGTGCAGAGATGAACAACTGCAACCCACTGAGACACTTTAGAGGACAAGCAGAAGAGGCTCTGATACCTTTTTTAAGCAGGACTGCAGTGGCGTCACACGTGACGTCCTCCAGATCAGTGCTTCCCGTGAGCCCATTGGCCAGATTCACCGAGCCTTTCTTTCGACGGTCGAAGTAGCGATGGGCCCGGCCGTTGAACCTGGCAGTAACAAACGATGACAGACTCAGTAAATCACTGCAACCAGCTGTTTAACTCTCTGAAGCTGACACTCACTTCATGATGAGGATGTAGACCGCATACATCAGGATCAGGACAAGAGATTCCCACCTGCACACAAACACAAGCAAAAGGTTTCACAGTCACTCTTTCCATTTCAAAAGCTCAGTCATATATATTTAGAGTTTTATGGTGAATGTCAATACGCACCAGCACACCTGCTCATCGTAGATGAACTAAAGATGCAAAGACAAAGAGGACACAAGGGGGTCATTAGGTGGAGGAAGTACGTGGGAGTTTAATTAAATCCTGCAGTTCAGCATCTCTGCCGCTAGGGGGCAGACCCAGCTAAGAGCTCAAATCTACAAAAGGGTCCAAATTAAAGATTGTTGTGTTACAGCCAAAATAGTAAACAATGCCAAAAGAAACAAATGGAATATGACACTGACAAATACAAATATAATACATTTAAAAGTTATGTAAAAAGTTGAAATATCATACACCACGGGGCTAAAATTTATGAAGGATAGAAAAGCACTGAAAAAAAGTTCTTTGCAGTAGCTGTACTCTGGTTTATTAACAGTAAACATTTAATATGTACAACCCTTAGACTGATTTTATGAAGTTTTATAAAGATGTCCTGTAAATATAAAATTAGAACTATTTAAAAGTATAATAATAAGTTATTGGATCATTAATGAGGATGTGGAGCAGGGCGTTATTATTCTACAGCTTCAGCTACTCAGTTACAGTTTTATGTAACTGATGTTAGTTACATATCAGTTGTTAAACCATTTCTGCACCGATAACTAAAAAATATGAATTTTGTTTTCATGCTTTTTATGCAAGGTTCTGCATCTGTGCAGAACAGCTCAGTTCAGTTATTTGTAAATGAATATGCAAACCTGCATTTAAGGGACATGATGTGTGACATCACAGTCTCTCTGGTTTCTGTTTATTGGCCAATCACTGAGCAGGCTTTGGTTGCATGCAGGTAAAGAGTCCTTCGGGAGAGTCACAGTTGCTGGAAACCATCGGCTAATCCAATGTATAATTTAATATCAAGAGCTTTTTAATAACTAATCTGTAGTCACGAATATCATCCAGTAAGACTCTTTCACAGCGTCGACACACAAAGCTGTTTGTAAAGTGTGCATAATGATTATTTCATGCAAACAGAACACATGCAAACATGTTTAAACGAAATACTGCGATCTATTATTGGTCTTCTTCTTACTATTAATTGTTTTTTTTGTTTTTTTTGTCATTATTTACAGATTTTTTGTTTGTTTGCGTTTTGATGAGATCATTTAAATCCCTACAAAAATCCCAAAGGAGCCTCTACGGGCTGTAAGCTTGATTTCATTAGCAACCATGCCCTCCTCCCTCTGCTTAGATTAATAAAGGTTTATTTGCATCAGGTCTGAAAAGCTGTCGTAGGAGAGTTATGGTCTCTTAAGACATCACGTGGCCTAAATGCATTTTAGATGCATGGCCTCTGAAGCCACATCAGTCCTGGAGAAACTGCCTCCAACAGCACCGTCTATGCTACTCAAAGATGGCAAAGTAAAACTGTATAACGACATTAATTCGGTAACATAGGTAATTGTAATAGTAATCACAAATTAGCTTAAAAAATGCAATGTCTGCTGTGAGTTTCTCGCCCTGGTCTGAGAGCTCAGCGGTGTTTAAGCATCTTTTTTGTGTTGGTGCTCCTTGTTGGACAGAAACACTCATGTCGCACCTTTTCTTTCTTTTTCTTTGATCCACATTCTGTGTCTCAGGTGAAACAACATTCGCCTCCTCGGTTACTGCAGACCAAGCCTTGTTTTTTGTTTTAAAAAGAAAACCGTCCCACCTGAGGACACCCATCTACTTTCCTCCTGTTTTGGTTTCTTTGCTCAGTTTATTTTTTCGTTAGAAATAAAAATATCTAAAATTGTTCAGATTAGCTAATATAAACATGTTGGACAGGAAGAAACAAAGAGGCCCATTCCCTTTAAACGTGAGAGACACTCCAGTTTATTCTACTGTACAGGAAACATAAGTCAGCCACTGGTTTCCCACATTAACATGCAAGTGTTATTTCATTGCTGTAGTTCATTGAGGTAAGGCTAATTTAGTTTTCAACGTATCATCATACTTCGAATAACTAATATTGTTTTGTATAATCTTTAAAGTAACAAATAGATGCAATGGAGTCAAAAGATCAATATTTCCCCACAAAAAGTTGCACAAAAGTTGACTTGAAACTATGCAGTACTTGAGTAAGCATACATCCTACCACTCCATTGCCTTTGTGCATTGCATTGTGGGAGAGAAACCTACACTTAAAGCTACACTGCTGAGGTAGAAAGTGCAAATGTGTAGTGACTGTAAAGCTGCTAACTATGACCTGCCCTGTAAATTGGCTCAGTAAGTGACTGCATGAGTGCCTCTTCCTGCACTTACTCCACACTTGATCATGTGAACTGTGCATCTACACGTGACTCTGCAGTATAAGCTCTTACCGCAATGAGGGCAGTGACAGAAAACGTGTAATAAATCGAATCTCGGAGTAGAGCCCAGTGAGACAGCTTCACCGCCTGTGAGGGGAAAAAAGGAAAACTGAGAGATAAGCACACTGAAAGTATCCCGCATCAGTTTCTGCTCTCGTACAGAAACACTCAGCCTTCTGACATCATTACCATACTGATGTAAACACAGGAGGTCTTAAGTTAACCTTTTGAATCACAGCCACTGAAAAAGGCAATTGCAGGTTAGCATCCTACATAGAAAAAGAGCCGCTGTGTTTACCGACTTTATGCAATCAGATATAACGCAGGGGCCCACGATGCCGTGACTAACGCTGTAACACGCTCCCCCACAGCGCTCACTGTATATATAAGTGGAGGGTCAGGGGTCACATCTTGAATGTGCCACTCCCAGCTGTGGAATCGTAAAGTTGGATCCCAACAAAATGTTTGCTTTTACTGGGTTTGACTTTGTAGAAGGAACCCGCTACAAACATCTAGCTAAAGGTAATAAGCAGCGGCGAGGTGCACTGGGTGGAACCGAAGATGATTTCACTGCCCCCTCCGAGCCCCCTCCGAGCTCCATCCCAGTGCCTGTCTTTCCCCCTCATTATCCAAGTATGATTACATAATCCACAATCTGGGATTGCATCACTGTTTGGAGTCCAGCGCATATATTTTTCAGAGCAGAGAGCTTATCCTTGTACTTTGCTCATTTCCATGTCCCAGGCATGTCAGATAGCATCAGAGAGACGCTGCTCTACGTGATGCTATCTCTGTATCTCATGTAAAATACACAAAACCAGTGAGGTAAAGTAGAAAAAAGATACAAACAGCCTCTTGTAATCACACTGACATGATGTTTTAAATGTGTCTGAGCAAGGCGGGGAATTAAAAGAAACAAACAAAACACAAAAGCTCCAGAAAAGAATCAAATATAAAACACAAGCGTGATTCCTGATTTGTTCGTTTCCATCATGTTTATCTCCTGACATTACAGCGTTTTAATATTTACTTTGAAATGATGCAGAATATGTATAAAAATGAACTCCCCGCTAAGCGTGCCACAGCTAACATCTGTGACATTAAAGCTCAAACGAACAGCGTGCACTCCTCGCATAAACATGAATTCACCCTCTACCACTCTGTGGTTGCTCGGTATTTAAAGGTGACATTAGGCCGCCGGTTGCGTGCTGTGAAAATGCCACCGGGTCAGCAGCGAGCTCAGCCAGTGTAACGCTGCTATGACATCATACCTGGCCGGCGAAGAAGCCACACACGCCGATGATGCAGAGGATGTTGAAGACGGCTGAGCCCACGATGGTCCCGACGCCGACGTCGCCACGGGTGATAAAAACTCCTGCAGGGAGAGTGAGCCAACACGCGCACGCACACACACACACACACACACACACACACACACACACACACACACACACACACACACACACGCGATGAGGTCCACAGAGAGCAGAGCACACGTAGCATCTGCAGTGGTGACAAACAGATGTCACACAACTGTCAAAGTACTTGACTCAAACACACGTGCCAGCAGAGGGGTGCGTGTCCCAGCGCTGCACTTTATGTTAACGATAGAGAGAAAGCATCACTGTGGACCTGTTATACTTTCCCTTACTCTCTGACGATGATACATTTCAAATTCTAATTCTTTTGAGCCAAAAGCCAAAGCTTCACAGTGCTACAAACACTCGGATTCATACGTTTTTCCTGCTCTATCTATTTGTATCTGTACAGAGAGGGGATGTCAGCCATTTAGAAGAAAGCAGGTTTAAAACAGAGGAGCTAAGGTTAACCTGAACACTGCACCAAGGCCCAATAACAGATAAATAAGGATTATTTCAAACTGTGAATCAAGCAAAGCTACTCTAGTAGAGTCTTAGAGTAAAACTATAAAGCTGGAAATGAGCTGAATATGTCACCTTGAACTTAAACAAAAGAAAGTATGGTAAACACATTTGGCACATTTACATATTTATAACATATTTATAACTTATTGCAGCTAAATTTAACAGTACCCTTCACCCACCAGTAACACTGTATTAGTGCCATTAGTGTGATTTTGAATATTTAAAGCCATGTTCACTGCATGTGTCTTGGGATAAAAGCATTCAAAGCCATGGCTGCTGCCTGCCTAAAGCAGCACTGCAGCTCCAGCTGTCAGAGTTAGAGCAGAGGATGTAGACTGATGGAGGGATGGGCGTAGAAATGTTGTACCTATGATGGATGTGAAGAGCTCTGGAGCCGAGCTGCCAGCGGCCATAAAGGTCGCACCTGCGACGTCCTCGCTGAGATTGAGACGCTGAGAAGCAAGAGATCGGAAGATTAAGAAAATTTCAACAGGGAAAAAGGTGCAGTTTCAAAATCCAGACAAGACTGAAGGATTTTAGAAAACTTTTGGGAGAATAAATAAATGTAACTAATTTGGGCTAATGAGTAAATACAAAGTCTGGTTGTTTATTTCTCAATCAAATACAGAAAAAAGGGTCTCTGCTACTGGCAAAAGAAATCATGTTTTTACAAAAAAGAGTCTAAAAAACAGAAAAATATTCCTGTTTGGCGAACATGACGATTCATATTCAAAGAGTGAGTCGGATATTCTGCTATTTTTATGCTGGCGAAGTACATTAAAGTCTTAAAACAGAGAAAGAAAACTCCTTATCAGGATAAAAACTGGCAGAAACAACTTTCTTTCTTTCTTCTGCGAGGACAAAGACAGTATCAGCGTTGATGAGTTCCTATTTCTGGGAGATGGGAAAAGCACTTAATAAAAATGAAATAGAGTTCAAATGTGTTTGTCAAAGCAAATACGTCAGCAATAAACATCCAGCTCTGAATATCAGTATCTGTGGTTCATCTGAAACTGTAACTCTTTAAATTTCTTGACTCTCCAACATAAGTTCCCCAGCTGAGTGACTATATTTTGAAAATCTTGATTAATACCTCACATAACTTCTCCAGGGAGGGGACGAAGTAGTCATCGCAGACGACGGCCAGAGCGCAAAACATGTATATGGTCTGTGAAGAGACAGAAAGAGCCTTAAAGATTACAGTGAAGGAGAAACACTGTGCTTTATGTGATTTGATCTATTTAAACTGAACAGCAACAAGAGATGTTGTTATTCTGCATCAAACAAATTCCAGAATGGTACAAGAAAGAATACCTTTCTGCTTAAATTTATATGTAAATTACCCTAAAAATAAGTCACAGATCTGGGCCCATGACAATTCAGTGGAGTCCATTAACAGATCGGACATTAAACATTCAGGAAACACATACAGCAGGCCCACACGCTTAACTTTTTAAAACAGGGAAGTTAGTTTTCTCTCCTGAAGCATGCTGGCATAAAAAAAAATTCCAGGTCTGGAAGTTTGCAACCAAAACATGACCTCTGACCTTGTAAATGTAACCGAGCTGGTTGATGCTTAGTAAAGACGCTGGATTTGTGATTCCTTCTAAGCTTTTACTGTGTAGCTGAGCAGACATTACATGCAAACAGCTTGACTCTGGGGGCAAAGACTGGGCCGTTAGACATTTTTCTTACTGCGTACATGCACTGTGCACTCTATGAACAGCTATGGGAAACCCCCATTATTCAACAATAGTAGTCAGCCAAAGCTAATATAGTTATTTATAGACATGCTTAAATTCAGCCTAATTCTAAAACCAAGAGGAAATCAGAAGTTCTTTTTTTAATTGTTTTTTTAAAAGGTTTTTATGGTTATTCTGCTCTTTTCAACTATAATTTATTTGTCTCTCCTTTATGGTACCAGCAATATCTTAGTCACTGCAAAAGAGACTAAAGTGCAAACATATGGATTTAATCAGTGAGTAGTAATCTGCATAATATATAATCTATTTCTATAACATAGTAAATCTACAAAGGGAACTTAAGTATTATGCAGATGGACTGGATAGCCAACCAATCACAGCAGATGGCCCCGCCCCTCCCTGAGCCTGGTTCTGCTGGAGGTTTCTTCCTGTTAAAAGGGAGTTTTTCCTTCCCACTGTCGCCAAAGTGCTTGATCACAGGGGGTCATATGATTGTTGGGTTTTTCTCTGTATGTATTATTGTACGATCTACTGTACAATATAAAGACACTTGAGGCGACTGTTGTTGTGATTTGGCGCTGTACAAATAAAACTGAATTGAACTGAAAATAGAACTCAGCTTATAATGAATAATAGTTAATAAAAATAAATCAAACTTGTATCCACAATAAGTTTCAGATTATTGCAACAATAAAATACGAGTTCATCATCTGCAAATAGATTAAAATTACCTTAAGAAGAGTCACCATAAGAAGAAATGTACATAATAGACCGAATACTGAATACTGCCAGCTTTACACATGAAAACATGTTTGAATAACACAGAAAAAATATTTGACAAAAAAAGCTGAAAAACTTTAAATTAAACCCTAAACATAAATATTCCATTACAAACACACAGATCACATCATCTTAAAAAGAATAAACCCAAAACTCTGAACATGAATTCTTGTTGATCACGTGCAACATACGTTACATCAGTGATCTGGATTAAAAGGCAGCCTGTGACACTGAAAACTGTCATATTAGATGTTACATCAACTTCTCTGGCATCACATAATAGATCCCACACAAAGAAATGGAGACGGGGTGGAGATCAAAGACAGGTGGCGATGATCAAAAGCAGTAGTGATGACAGAGTGACTGCTAATGTGTGAACAAAGGAGAAACGCTCTCACACACTGCAATAACAAAACCTTTACAGTTAGACCGACGAGGGAGTGATCACGCTCTTCGTGCCCGGAGATCAGTCACATTTCACCGAGCAACCACAAACTCTACTTCCTGATTCTGACAGCAGGTGAGAGCGAGCACGTTATGTGTTTGAGTGCCAAAAGCAAAAGGTCAGAGGTCACATGTAATCCTGCTAACTGGGTTTAACACAGATTTAGAGCTGAGATAGAGGGTGGGAGAAAGCGTCTTCAGCCACAGAGACGTATGCTGACTGCACACTTGTTTCTATGTGTGCACGTGTGAATTGAGTCGAGGAAGTCCTTCAGTCCGAGCTTGTGTTTGTGTTTTTTCGGAGAAGTGATGATCCCAGCGCTAACGAGCTGTGCGGGACTGGAGAGTGAGTCAGCAGCACAGCTGCTGGGAGAGAAGTTGGGAGCACGATACTGCGATTTAAAAAACAAAAAAAAATTTAAACTGAAGCATGAACAAAGCATGCTTCCATTTTTAAAAACCACAAATACTCATGGTCAATTATAGCTTTCCCAGTTCAGCTTCACTTATGGCTGCATCACACGGAAATGTGAGGGAAAAGACAGCAGTGTTTAAATCTGCATCCCTCTGTGGTCAACCTGAGTCGCAGGATGGCCTGGAATAAAATTTAACTTCAGCATTTACAAGCACTGTGCAGAGAGTATCTGCACAGAGGAGCAGCTGCATGTTTTCCAAAATGTCACAATTTGAGCTTCATGCTCAATATTTCATATTTTTAAACAGGTAAATGGTTAATGAAGGAGATCGCAGGGCGTTTCACAAAGTCACAAGCACAGGAAAATCAGAGCTTTTAAAGTTTCTACTGAAGAAAATATCAAAGTGAATCACAGCCAACGACTAAGGCGAGTTTAAGGCCTTTGAGTTTGTTTGTCCAGCATCTATGATCACTCGTGACTTCAGGAGAGATCCACGTGTAGCTTGTAATTTCTGGGCTGAAAAACATATTTAATCTTTTTCGAAACTGTAACCACGTCTATTTTACACCCAGTCTAAGTGTAACAATCTAGAGACAAATCTTTTTCTCTATAACCTCTATAAACTGCGCCATTTTCATGCCCGTGATGTAGAGAAACAGAAACAAGCACTGGCATCTTGGATCTCTGATCATTCAATGGAGAAAGCTCAACAAATGCGTTTTGGGTAAACTTTGAAGAGTCTTATCGCCATGTGACCGGTGGCTCCTCAGAACAAGTTAAAAGGTCTCCTTTTACCTAGAATTTGGCATCAGGCTCATCTTCTAGCTGTGATTCCTTTCATAAAAGTCATTTTCTAATATATTGATTTTAAGTTTCGAGTTGATCTTCTGCTTTTTTTCACCGGACGTTATTGATTTCAAGGCTTATTATTATTAAGTTCAAGGCTTGACCCAGGAAAAAAAAAAGCAAACAGCTTGGACTGAGTTTTGTGACCAAATGAGAGACGTGGATTTGTGGTTGTAAAACTGAGTCACTTGGTTTAAGGCCAACATTAGAAGAGACTGCCCAGCTTTGGAGAGCTAAACTTTTGCCTCTAATTGTTTTTTGAAGGACTCGTTGTCAATGCCAAACAGGGCAAATGTGGACTTTTTGTCACGTGTCTTTACAAATACGTTGCAAACGGAAACAAGAGCATCTTTGTATACTCAGCTCACAGACTCTTCTAGATCCAAATAAACTTCTGGGTTTAAGTGCTCGACGGGTTCCTGTAGGATGTTGAGAGGATATCCAAGGCTTGGTGAAAGGCCAAGTTGAGATCAAGTCTGGAAAAACCTCGTAAACTCACCTTGAGTTAGGACTATTTACTATTCCCAGGCTCGGGAAAGTAATCCATCCGAAAACTTCTTGGAAACCCACTTTGTCCCACTTTGGGTAAGTCAAATGCATAAATTGCATGTCATACTTCAGACACACACAATCACAGTCTGAACATTTCTTATTTTGTTTTAAAGGCAGCCTGTTACAGCAGCGTTTTATTCTCAGCTGCGGGGCACGATTGTCCTCCCGCTGTACACAGAAAAAAGCACAATGACATCGGCTATGAAAGGACACTGAACATTATTTTAAAGGTTAAAAAAATAGATGGAGCTTATATTCACCTGCTATTTTGCACTGATTTCTAAACACCCAAGCATCCCAGTAAAGGTTCTGCAGCAGCTCAGAGGGTGGCTGCAAAGTGAGACACGGCAAACGCTTCATTGTTTAGTCCTGTGGAGATGCTGCAGGAGCTTCCATTATGATGAAACCCCTCAGAGACCATCAGCACAATGCAACATGGATCATCGCGTGCTCAAACATTCTGCATGCTTTGTCGCTCACGCCACAGCGATGAAAGAAGGCCCCATCATAGTTTGGGCCTCGCATGGTGACCTCTGCTGGGTCCCACTGCAAAGGCTGTGTGTTTGTTGAATTGCCGGATGGGAAAAGATGCGGCTGGCACTGAGCTGCAGCTCAGTCTGGAATACTGTAATCCAAACACCAAAGATATTTCCAAATGCTTTGATTTATATTTGGTGGCATGGCTCTTTTCTGGGAGGAGAACCGGGGACAGAGATGGTTGCAAATCAGCTTGCAAAGGTGCATCTGCAACTGTGAGCAGGCTAAAGCAGCTTAAACTGTGGGCCTTATATGAGAGTTTGCAGTCAGATGTGTAGAAGCCATCAGCTGATATGAGATTGACTTTGAACTAACCCTGAGTTTGTTTATTAGCATGGCAAAGTTACACCAGTGGTTAGCACTTCTGCCTCAGTTTGAGGAGCTGGTGGAAATGTGGAAAAGGAGAGATGTTCTTTATATTTTCAATCAAATTTAGATGTAAATGGATGTTTTTCTTCTTTTTAGCTTGAATTTTTTTAAACCTCAGCATTTTCAGGCAGTATCGGTTAGACAACTGGTAGAGCCGTCCTTTCAGTGGGTTTTCAGCATCGCCATTATTTAACCCACTGGGCTGTGATGGGCGGCAGGTCTTCTAAAACAATGTGCATTTTGTTTCCATGTGTTCATGAAAATGAAGGCTTTGGATGCACAAACCATCTGGGAATTTTTGGATGAGTAAGTAAAATCTCCAACGTGGATACAGGGGAACGGATGCAGAGCTGTGTTGGTGAAGGCAAACTTACACACAGGACATGCAAGGCCACGGCTCCTTCTGTCCTCTCTTTGTTCGTGAACAGGTCCGTAGGGAACTCGTGCACAGCTGCAAGAGACAGAAAGCCAGGATCAGGACACTTCATACAGTAACGCTCAGTGGGTTTTATCAGAGGATGCTGCACAGAACACGTTTCCAATGCTCTGCAGAAGCTTAAACTCGGTCCCTTCCAGAGAGTTACTTAAACTTAAACCAAGCATGCGACGACCGTCAAACGGTGTCCTCCCAGGCACTGCGTACGAGTACCCTACCTCAGAGAGAAGAGTGAAATGGAAAACAGTAGGAGGACGAAGAGAGGGCAAAGAGGAGAGAGCACCGTAAAAATAGAGCACGGGATATTTAAGGTACAGCAAGTGGGATGGAGAGCAAAGAAGAGAGAAAGGGTGATGGGAGTTTAACCACAATCTTTCAGCTTGAGAATGTGAGTACAACGGAGGATCAGCTGTGTGTGAGCACAAGGAAAAGACGGAGAGAACATAAAGGAGGGGGTTTGGCCTTAAAAGGTGGCAGGGGTTATTCCACCGCCTCTCTGTGGCTTCCTCACTGACTCTCTGAGTGACAGGCACTCGGGTGCCGGCGAGAGTCGAGGAAGCTCTCCTTCTCGCCCCTTAAGCGTCGAGTCATCCTTGTCATCATCTCCACCCACACAAACCAGAAGTCACTGCTAACATGTGTTACATATTTCGGAGATAACAGGGGAAGGTTGGACAGCTATCAGGCATAGATTTGGGCTATCAAGTGCTAAGCCACGAGAAATCACAAAACATCAGAAATATTTTACTGATTAGCTTCAGAGTCAAGTAAAAAAGCACAGTCCTGTATTTTCATGAGATTTTATTCATGTTTGGTTTTGAATCCCAGAGACTGCATTACATTCCAGCATATGATGATAATATAATAATGGAGAAAATGTACAAATTAGTACATAAAAAAATCACGAGAATGTTTCAACTACTTGTGATTGGCTGGTTTGCAACAGCTTTGGAATAATAACAGCCAACAGGCTGTTTTGGATTGATGTGTGGGTAAC